TTTTATTGTGCATGCAGTAAAATCAAACAATGGAGTGTATACTGGTCACATGCAGCTTAAATGTATTCATAATATATTCTAACGACAATATTAAAGCAAAACGACGAATTACATGTTTACCTGAAAAAATAAATAATTCATCGTTGAAAGAATTAGTATTATTTTGACTTTTAAGATGGCGGGTATACTCGTCGGAAGCAGTTAACCGATTAAATAAATACAACTTAAAATTTAAGTCCTAGACCGCTGATTGAAGCTTTCAGATTCATTTCTGTTTGCTAAATATGCTTTAAAAGAGGACTTTTGAAAAAAGAAATATATTCTTTTAATATGAAACGATATATAGAAAGATTACTTAACAATAAAAACTAGAAGCATAATCGGAACTACTTTAAGACAGTTCCGTGTAATACAATATCCTGCTAATACAGAGGTAATTATGAACGCAATTAAATGTCCATTAAAACAGAATTGAAGCATGCAGGATAAAATAAAAAACCATGAGATTACATAAACTTACAGTCTCATCAAAAATAGATGTTTTTGTAGAAAAAGGGGATGAATTTTTAGGATATGGAAAACAGTCGAACCATTCTTGTCGCGCTATCCGAAGTCAGATTTCTATTCTCGCCTATCATTCTCATAATAAACTTCGAAAATCACGCCTCTGACAGGCCGTGCGACCGCAGCCAGCAACCGTAGAAGAGTCAAGGCCGAGTACAAATGGGAGGGTACATCGTTCACCATAACTCATGGGGCTGGTCCTATGACGAGGACGCGTCTCTCCACGATCGTCAATACATAGACCTTACAACACACAAGCGTTAAGTGTTAGATGTATGTAGGTATAGATGCGGTACCTACGGCTTGCAGGTATTACGTTACAATGCCATTATGTGACTCCCGTGTGCCACCATTGTACACGGTTCCCTCCGACGTATGGTTAACCACCAACCATAACCAACCAAATGTTCGCACATCCTAACCATGTACGGACATTGTGTTGTGTCGATGTGATGTTATAGGTACATATTAGTGTATTCTAAGCCAGTGATGTCGATGATATCAATTTTAAAGCAGAGGAAAGACGATTCTTGAACTTAATGAAATAATATTTGCACTTTTGGGGAAGAGATTTCTCAAATTTCACCTTTTCGTTAGAAATATTTGTGAAATAATTAGAAATTGGATTGTTCTGTCACTGTTTTCGTTTTTCATGTTTGTTATTGATAATTATATGCTCGTTAAGCAATAATTTTTTTCGAACGCATGACGTTTAATCTAGATGTTTATTGTGAGTTTCGATTTTGTTGAAATCCAAATTGTAAATTTTCTCTTTTAGTTTTATTTGACATGAATTATATAATATAAATAGTATTTGATTTAATACAACTATGTAATAATTATATTATAAAATATAATAATATAATCGTAATTACATAATGTAGATAAAACGCGATAATTCTTGCGGATACATTTCAACTTGCCTGAAAAAACTACTAATTATACCACACAATGGAGCAAAAATATTTTCTTATAGAAAGTGGGAGAAATTACAAATTGTCAGATTTGTTTTGAACATAGAAACAGATTTAGTAAAACACGTAATGTTGGCAGTAGTAGAGTCAACGCTGAGCATATTGTTATCCTCATAGGCACAAAATTTTCTCCGACTCCTAATAAATCAGCCACTTCGAAAATGAGCCAAAAAAGAATTTAGGTATAGATTTTCATTTAATTTTTTGCATATGGACAAAACTCTATAAAAAGCGTTTGTTGAAATTTAGAAATATAAATACGTGTGTATTTTGAACAGGATAATCAGCAGCATAACTGTTTTTATTGGTTATCTAAGAATTCACAAGCCTCTATAATTACTCAACTTTTGAATCCTTTCATCAAGACATTTAAATTTCTTACTGATTTATCCCCTTTTGTAACCAAATTGCTTTAGATCCACGACAAAGGCGTAACTTTAAAATAGTCTACGTGTCTTAGCAAGATTAGAAACGTATACTGTGAATTCTATTGCAAAATTGCTCGTTAATCTTCTAGGTTCGAGTCCTTTCTTCCGTCATAATAAATCCGCCGCTAAAATATTGCCAGTTGGTATCAGTGTGTTCGTGGTTCACACAGTGTGCACACCCACATTATAGAAGTTGGTTCGAAAGAGAGTTATAGGTGACAATAACGAGGGCCGGTTGTATGTGGAGCGGGATCATAAAACGGAGGATTAGACTGCTTTCGGCCATTAGTCTAATATATGTACACGTATGTTTGCGGATATTAAAAACTCTACGAAACGTTCAAACGGTCCGACATTGCAAAGTAGGTATTGTCATTATTAGATAATATTCACTTGGGTACTTCGGCTCATTCTCCAGTGAATTTAAATTTTATTGCTCCACGACTGGATGTGATTCCTTTGCATCTATATGCAATGAGTTTAATTCAGCCTATAGTTTAATGATTTATAAAAACATTCAAAGTTTATTACCTATGTTCTTTATATTACGGAATTTTTATATCCGAATTCATTAAGCGAGTTTTTAGAGTATGAACATTTCTGAAGGAATAATATGAATATAGTAAATATTTTATAGCAATATACGGTGATGTAAATGAGAAAATATGAAGTTGCTGAAGTGTGAAGTTGAACACTACGCATACCTGGTTATTGGTAATTACAGGTTAATACGTCTTTCGCAGTCAACATTAAAATTAACAATCAATGTTTTTATTGGAATGGAAAATCTCTGAAATTTTTAATATAATACATAATATTTTTTTATATATTGAGTGTTTTAGTAGAGAAGCACTCAATCGCATTCGTAACTTATTCTACAATTTTTCTTCAACAAGAAAATCCATAGAAAAGCATCTTCAGGTACAAAATATAAAAGCAAAGGCTTTTATAAACATTTAACACCGTATTACTATATTACTATAACCAATTAAATAACTAATTACAAAAAAACCTAAACAAATTAGATTTAAATATATGTTAGTAAAACCAACAACAAAAAACAAAAATTAAAAAAACTCATTGATCAAACAACACAAGAATCGATATGAAATTAACTAAACAACAGAAAGTTCGGAATCTTTAATCTAATCTTAAAACCGGTCGTTTGATCTTTTAACGTTAACCCCTTGCCCTATGATTTCTTTCTGAACTATGATCGATCTATTTTCTTATTAATAATTTATTGAAAATACAAGAAAAACTCTAGGCATATTCTACGTTAACGTTTGCTCTAAAGTATAATCATTGAAGAAAGACAAATAATATTTCATTTGAATTGAATAATGTTTCTATTTGTTAAATTCTAATTGAAAAATCTTTACCACGAAACCGGCACGATATTGCAGATCAAGGGGTTAGGCGTATCAACTTATTAGAATCCATTACTTCTATTAAGAAATCGGTTTCGGAAACATCATTAAAGCTTCACCCCTCTCGGCCCTCCCTCTCGCCGGAAGTTTATTTACCCGGCACGCCCCCCTCGTTCAAAAATCATTTAGCCCGTGGTGAATTCCAGTCGATCCTACCACGGATCCGACGCGAGTTCCCGTAACAAGACCGCCGACACAATGACAGAGATGTTCAGAGGCGGCTGGATGCCACGGTTGCCCATTTACGCGTCCAATTGGCGTACACAGCCACTGTGAAAGCCTCCGGAGGGATGTTACGGGGTGGGCCGATCACATATATTACACCGGTGGCTGCGTGCTAGAGAACAACGACTTGCACGCACAATAAAGCCACCCGTACGCGGGCACAAGGAGGCATGCGTGTCGCCATACTGAAAGGGAGCATCGGGGGATTCGAAGGGCCGATACCTTCCAGACTAGCACCGCAGTTATGTTAACAACGTGTAACGTTCCCCGCGGGGTATCTTTTCGCTTGACCAGCTGCCTACCGGAGGGTATGCCGAACGTGAACGTTCGACATGTTCACGGTGTAAACTGTGCATTAGTGGAGACTTTGATAATCCACGGGAATTATCGGAGATTTTCGAAAGTGAATTCGATGGGAAGGCGAAATTGGTGGCATTTTTTGAGAAGTTTCTGTGGGGTATTCCTGGCGTGGTCTGATCTTATTTACACTGTCAAATGTCTATATTTTTAATCGTTCTTAACACATTGTTGACTGGCAATTCTACCCAGAAACTATCCTATATCACTGGTTACTGTTCCGTAATTAAATATGAAAGTGAAGCAATCTAAATAAACTTCAATGTACTTTATTTATACATAATGAATTAAATATAACTTTCAATACTTCGCTTTTGCAGCATTCTATATTGGCTGCGTTTCAAAAATTGAATTGGCTAATGCAAGTGCAAACACGAGTTAACTCGTAACCGGTTAACAACGTGTTAATACTAGATTTTACGTACATTTATTGTATCTACAGTTTATTCTCTTGCTTCTAGAGAAATAGATTTTTTTTCTTTCATATTCTTGAAGTTAGGGGCTTAAAGGTAAATTAGAATACACATTTGTATTTGCATCAATGAAAATCGACCCAAACATTTACCACACAGTGTTTATGAAAGTCAATATCAGTCAAACTGTCTCGTTCTGTAAATCTAGTATTAATGGTATACTGAAAGTTGCACAGAGGCCTATTTATCTATTTTTCTTCTACTTATTATTTATTTATTACGCATAATGCTTCCCTTTCCGGTTTAGACGAACTTCCATCCTAATATCCGTTTACATTTACTTAACTTACTTATGTATTTTTACCTAAACTTTATCATCTTTGCACTTCCCCTATCCTTCTCTCTTGTTTCACTTCCTTCTTTTCTATCGAAATTTTCTAATCTACCGAATATTCTATACTTTATGACCACAGAGAAATAACGTGTACGTGTAATAAAGAAAAAGCATCTGTCGATAAACGAACGAAAAATGTACTTTCGTTGATAGCTGTTCTTTAAGCTTCGAGTGCCATTTAAACCTGACGATGAGGTTTCTCTTTGATGTTACAGACGGAAGTGGAAGACATGACGAGTGACAGCGTCTGCGAAGGCACCGGTTCGAGCCTCGGTGCTCCTGAAACCACTGGCGGTTTGATAGGACCGGAAATGTCATCGAGTGTGATGGAGTGTGGCGGCTGCGGGGAACGTGTACGCGAGCGTACCGTTCTCTGCGTCGGCGGTCGAACTTGGCACTCAAGGTGTCTGAGATGTTGCGCTTGTGCCAGGCCACTACACGATCAACACTCCTGTTTTCTAAAAGGAATGCGCCTCTACTGCAAGCACGACTACGCGCTGTAAGCAAGACATCCATTCTTTTATTATTATTTAACACATTGAATACCAAATAATTTCAGCCTAAAAAATACACAAAATGGGAAAAATCTAGTATTCAAATATTTAATTAAAATGCGTTGTTATTATTGCACGTTTATCTTGGTAGATAACAAGACATCTATTCTTTTATTATTATTTAACACGTTAAATGTTAAATGATTTCAGGTTGCAAAATGCACAAAGTAACACAAATGTAATATTAACACGTTCACCGCTACGGTGATCACCGGTGACCGAAACGTCCGAATTACTTGAAAACAATTACAAGAAAACTGATGTCGAATTATATTGTTTAGTAATATGAGTAATTAAATAATATTATAACTTAAGAACTATGAAACCAAGCCATGAATAACTGATTCTAATACCATTTGTCTTTGTTATGATACGATAAGTAATGTTATACGAAACGCTATAAATTCTCGTGGCGGTCATCGTGTTAAATTGTTTCATTGAATTGAGTTGTTATTATTGCACTTTTATATTACTAGGTAGAATTATTTGTGATATAGAAATGTTTTCAAATAGTTATCGTTCAATCGAGTAAATCCTGGTAATTCGATTTAGTTGGGAGTCACCGGCGATCACCATGGCATTCAACGTATTAACAGTCACTATCCATCACTTGGTCTTTTTAGATTCAGATCTTTCTATGCCGATTTTTAAATAAAACTGCTTATTCCTGGTTATTCTCTAAATAGAGTAGTTAGAATATACTTTCTTAAGAAATAATGCGTTGCTTTTTAAATAATTCCTTTTCAATTAATTGATTCACTAACATTACTTCGAATAAGACAAGTCTAGGTATATTATGCGGACAACGTGTTAAAACAAAATCTGATAACTTATAAAGAAGAATGTTATAGAGAGTAAACTATCGAAATGTTGAATATAAAAGTATTTCGCTATTGAAACCTCGTATCTTGTATCATTATATATTGGTAAACAGACATACGTATGCACCAAATGCAAGTTGCATTCCACACGTTAATAAACACATAACCAACAGGAAACAATCCAACCAGTTCATAAACACGTTAACGTTAATTTACGTTCGCTTATCGGTCAACTAAAAGAAACCTGGACAGGTTGTCACGCCGTATAATCCTTCTGTTCGTTCGTATTAATCAAGCAACAGATTTTTGCAGGCCAACGCGCGAACCACTTGCTATCATATTTATTGCATCGATACCGTAATCATAGCAGTAGCAGTTTTACTATGCCTTATTATGCGATCGATTGATCTACCGGTGTTAGATATCACGCTGCTCTGTTCACTTTCTAGTCGCGGTTTATCTTGATAATTGAATCTGTTTCGATCGCTGAACCATGATTGGTGGAAAACGCAGATCTCCGATGATACAGTGGTAAAATTGCACGCATTGCACTTTGAAAATTATATTTCTAGTCTCGTTAGTACGCTGCTGCAATTACCTATTATCTTCAATAGCTACTGCCTGGCAGTAATAATAAGTATACGAGCCGCTCACTGGACAAATCGGTTAACTCCATAAACCAAAAAGCAGAGAAAAGTGGCGCAGTAATATAAATTGATTTTTTAAATTTATTTTTAAATGGAACATCACATTACCGTTATAGAATGGATCTCACTTTATTATTACAGGTGTATCTTTGATCTCATAAATATGTAAAATGCATGAAATACTATATTGAAGGACAACTCTGTATTACCTACCATTACAATTTTTATATGAACAACAGAAGTTTTATTATTTCGAGGCACCGAACCTAATAATCAGGAAATTTGTTATAAATATAAAAAGTTGGAAACCAGTCAAGCACATGGACGATAAAATTTTAAAAAATTCAAGAAATGGAGTTAACCGATTTAGCCAATGAACGGTTCATATAACACTCAGCAGTTGTGGTCTGTGTATTAATCGATTCTATTTGTGTTGATAAATATAAAAATTTGTTTAATTACCAATTATTAATCATTGATGTTCTATAATTTATAAGTGGATTGATTATATGTACAGAAGTATATAGAAAACTTTATATCATATTAATTATTGAATAAGATACCTTAGTCACTTTTCATTAAACTTTTTTCATTAAAAAATCCATTTCTTCGCATAAATCAAATTTCCAAAATCAAATTCGAGAATATAAAGAAATTACGCATTTCATTCGTTACACGTTCCTCCAAGAATTGAACCGACAATCACTATTTTATTCTCCACTCTTAATATTTCTCTTAAGCTCCGATTATCTACCAAAAAATTTCTTTACAATCCCCGCAACGGTCACATTATTTGAAAATGAAAGTGAGATCTAATTATTGAACGCAACCGGTATAATACATTACTGATTGGCGCGCCTAATATTTGATGAATCATTAAATGTTATAAATGTTATAAATTAAATCACATTGTGTCAATAATTGAACGACGCGAGGGATGGAGCACGCCGGAACGGTGTCCCTGGTCTCTTGCGTGTACGAAAGGACCGCAGTGTAGTTTCCGATCATTTATCACGGAAGGTAGAGAAGCGTAGATCGAGAAGGTGGCTTTGGTTCTTTCGAAGTCGCTTGTCGACGAGTCTACGGGTCGTGGATCCTGTCGACCGGGTCATCGTAAGCCAGCATTACGAGGCGAAAAGCATGAGTCAAAAAAATTACGCGGCGGATTCTTGTAGACCTCCCGCATACACGACTTTGACTCCTCAAAGACAGACGGGTCGAGAAATCCGGCAAATGTCTTCAGAGGGAACGCCGACTCCAATGCGAAATTTCTGATTGCGCTTCTACAGTCGAACCTTGTCAAATCTGTTGCCCGGTGCCTTTCAATGTGTCGTGAATAATTATTTCTATTGTCCTGGAAAATTAATTTCAACGCTCAAATAATGGATTTCCTCATACCGGTAATTCGATTTATTCTTTTATCGTATGCTTTTTCTGAGCTTCAATTCATTTGTAGTATGAAGTACTGTGAAGTAAATTTGATGGAATTTAAATATTATGAAATTTTTTTCATAATATCAACAAATGAAGTAACATGCATTGAATGTTTCTATAATAGGTAAATATTGTAGTAACATCGTCTTCTATCTCATATAACATAAACAAGGAAATAATAATATATATTTGAAAAATAACATTTTTAAATTATGGAGAAGTAAAATATAGTTTTAAGAAGAAAGGATAATAAAAAATTAAGATTTTAATTTAATTAAATTTTTATATGTATCATTCAATTTACAATCAATATGATTTAATTTAATCGATTATCTGCTGGATTACCTGATTATAAATGTGCATTACACGCTTGATGATTATAGCAACGAAATTAAATCTCGCGAAATTGAGTTAAACCTTTTTTAATAATAAAAATATTTATTATGGCACATGTATTCTCAACGCTAAGCGACGATATAAGGTAAACTCGGGTCAGTTTCTTTCTTTCTCAAGGTATATTCATTTCCGTGTTCGATAATGTAGACAGCGATCGCGTTTCACGATCGGATATTACGATACGTGATTTAGACAGGCCGGTGCAACAGCCAGGTGACCGGTTCAAGTTTGATTGACAGTTGGATAAACACGTTGGAAAGACTTTGACTTTGACTCCCTGTGCACAATCGACGAGTCACTTCGTAGCTTCTTTGGCTTGGTTCTCTATAGGCTTTCGTGGCCTTCTTTTCTACTCTCGAAAATATTCCAGTTCAATATCATTCTTCATAACATTCGTTTGAAAAATACTTTCGTTATTTAAAACAATTGACATGTACGCGAATATTTAAACAATTTCGATCGTGTTTAAATGAACAATTAGCTACTCTAGCCATTACATTTTTGTATTTCAGATATCAACTACTGGGAATTTCAATGTAGCAAACTTATATTTCATCTCTCTTGTATTTTGATAAATATGAAATCTGAAGTGATCTGAATCTCTAATACTTTGATAAATATGAAATCTGATATGATTTCAAATTCCCAAAGATGAATCCATTCTATATAGATGGAATCCATAAATTATTAAAACTTTAGGAAGAAGTCATTAATAACGATATATTATTCAGTAAATATTAACACTAGAATCACCGAGCGTTTAATACAATTAATGTGTACTAATTTTTAATTAACTAATAATAATTAACTAATTTAACACGAAAACTACCGAGCAGTTAAATTGACTTTTTGAAATTCCTCTACAGAAACTCCAAGAGTACATCTATTCAGATTCTAATTGGTTTTCAATTCTGTTTGCACATTGCTATATCAATTTCTTTAATAGTTTCTCAAAGAAATATCTGTTACCTTATTAATAAATGCGAAAAGAGGAAACCAGGAATGGATAATTTTGACCAGTCCGGTACTTTTAGTGTTAATTAAAAAACGAATAGAACTTTTATGTTGACCAAATAACCTACATCTGATAAATACAGTATAATATTTCAATTCCAACTTCAGTTTTGCTTTCAGAAAGAAAGTGAACGCGAGGTAGGTATTATTTCTTCGATTCAATGCACTCTTCAACCTGCTCTTATTTCCCTTCCTCCATTTGCATCTATTTCTTCGAATCTTTTACACTCGTCTCACAGCTGCCACCACGTTTCTTCATCTTGTTTTCTCCTTTCCTACTTTCCTTCCACTTCTCGCTTATCGTAGTCCGTTTCTCCTCTTTGCCTTCGCGACCCTCCCTCCTTTTATCCTTATACTTACTCCGCTCCCAGCGACGTACTCCGCGGGTTTACATTCACGCAAACATACTCTTCGAAGTTACAGCTCGCGCTTCGGGGTCCAGGAGTCATTTATTTGTCGCCTGGCGACCGGTATACCCCTCGCCACCTTCCAGGTAAACGTACGTCCGTGCGCAACGCCTTATCTAACCCTGCAAAGTGCTCTCCCAGTCGAAGTACGAATTATTTCTGCGACCGTTCACGCGAGTACGATTATGGTTACGGTTTACAGCCCGCATTCTTGGGAGAAAATGTC